TTCCATGTAAATTTCTTCTTCTAAATCTCCATTTAGAAATGCAGTTTTAACATCCATTTGATGTACTTCAAGATTTCGCAAAGCGGCAATCGCAAGTATCATCCTAATAGATGTTATTCTCGTCACTGGAGAATACGTATCAAAGTAATCAAGGCATTTCCTTTGTTTGTAGCCTTTAATTACTAATCTGGCCTTGTACTTCTCGATAGTTCCATCTGCTTTCATTTTTCTTTTGAAAATCCATTTGTAGCCTAGTGGTTTGCTTTCTAGAGGAAGATCCACAAGTTCCCATGTATGATTTGCAGTATGGAATCTATTTGACTTTTAATGGCTTCTTTCCATTGAGGTCCTTCTGAGGAATTCGCTGCTTCTTGATAACTTTGAGATTCACTTTCTAGCATATAAGTCAGAAAATCAGGACCATAAAATTTTTCTGTCCTTTCCCGTTTGCTACGTCTAACCTCAGTCTCCTCTTCTAACTTTTCGTTCTGACTATTTTCAATCATTGTCTCATATGTTCGTTTAGAGGAGCTTGTTTCCTCTTTGGATCTGTATGAAAATACTTCTTCAAAGAATGTAGCATTCCTTGATTCCATTATCGTGTTTTTGTGTATGTCTGAAATTTTTGAATCATACACAAGAAAGCGATTCGCACTGCTATTATGTGCATAGCCAATGAAGACACAGTCTATAGTTTTCGGGCCTATCCTTATCTTCTTTGGTGGTGGAACAGTCACTTTAGCAAGACACCCTCACACTTGCAAGTGTTTATAGGTAGACATTTTTCCTTTCCATAACTCATAAGGGGTCTTTTCTGATTTCTTTCGAGGCACCTTATTTAAAAGGTAATTTGCTGATAACACAGCTTCCCCCCACATGTTCTGAGGTAACCCAGAACTTACGAGCATTGCATTCATCATCTCTTTTAAGGTACGATTTTTTCGTTCAGCAACACTATTTTGTTGCGGTGAATAAGGGGTGGTGGTTTCATGTATGATTTCGTGTTGTGCACAGAATTCAGCAAATGGTGCTTCATACTCACCACCTCGATTACTTCGCAGCACCTTAATTTTCATATTAAGTTGATTCTCAACTTCATTCTTATAGAGAATAAATTTCTCTATAGCTTCATCATTACTTTTAAGTAGATATACATAGCAGTATTTTGTGCTATCGTCGACAAAAGTAATAAAATACTTGTTGCCACCTCTTGTTTGTACAAGTTTTAGATCACACACGTCACTATGAACTAAATCTAGTGGTTTTGTGTTCCGTTCAATTGATTTAAACGATAACCCTGTCAATTTTGTTTCAACACAAGTTTCACACTTATGTTTGGAATCGTTATTGAACTTAGGTATGCAGTTAGAGTTAATTAGTCTTCGTAAAGTATCATAGTTAACGTGTCCTAGTCTACCATGCCACAAATTGGAAGACTCGGCAAATAAGTAAAAGAACTTGCTTTATTCATTTTTGGTTTTACAACCATTACATTGAGTTTAAACATACCGTCGAAAACATAACTTTTTCCGACAAACATTCCACTTTTTGACAGAATGACTTTGTCTGACTCAAAAACAATGCGGAAACCATGCTTATTCAAAAGCGACCGGAACACTAAATTCTTGCGAATTTCTGACACATAAAGCACATTGTTGAGAGTCAGCTCCTTTCCCGAGGTCATCTTCAGAACCACTTTTCCTTGACCCTTGATTTCAGAAGTTGCTGAATTTCCCATGAACAACTTCTCCCCGTTCTCAACAGCTTCGAACGTATCAAACATCTCTTTATCAGAGCACACATGCCTTGTAGCACCGGTGTCAATCCACCACTCTTTAGGGTTTGAACCTACCATGTTTACTTCAGAAATAACTGCTGCGAGATTCAGCTCCGACACATCTTGTGCCATGTAGTCAACCACGTTCGCTTTTTTCTTCTTCTTCGATAATCTGTACTTCGAAGACTTGTGACCCACTTTGTCACAATTGAAACATTTCTCTTGGAATTTCTTCTTGACAATTCCACCTTTCGATCCTTACTTGGTTCTTTTGCCACTGGATGGCCCAGACTTGTTTTTGTAGTTCTTACTTCTTTGACCAAGCTCCACAACATTGGCTTTGGTCACACTAGGATTGAACCACTTCTTCTCGGAACTCTTGTTGTCTTCTTCGATTCGAAGTCTAACAACGAGTTTTTCAACGTTCATTTCCTTTTGTTTGTGTTTCAAATAATTTTTGTAATCTTTCCACGCGGGGGGTGAGGGGGGCAATTTTTCTATAATTGCAGCCACCTGAAAAGTTTCACTCAACATCATTCCTTCGGCATGAATTTCGTGAAGGATCACTTGGAGTTCTTGCACTTGACTGATAACAGTTTTGGGGTCCACCATCTTATAGTCTAGGAATTTGTCGACTATAAACTTTTTAGCCCCGGCATCCTCAGTTTTGTATTTCCGGTCCAAGGACTCCCACAATTCCTTAGTAGTTTTCATGGTGCTATACACATTGTATAGCGCATCTGCTAGGCTGTTCATGATATAATTTCGGCACAGAAAGTCTGAATGCTTCCAAGCATCAAGTGCACTCAATGCTTGCACATGTCCCTCGCCCTCATTAAGCTTTGGAGCAGTTTCAGTCAAGAATCTCGCAAGATTCAAGGTGGTCAAGTAAAAAAACATTTTCTGCTACCACCTTTTAAAATTTAAGCCATTGAATTTCTCCGATTTTTCTCCATGATTAATCGGAACAGTTACAGTTTGGCTAGTTTAGGTCACAACATGACTTGGCATTCTAGCCACAGTCTGAGCCACAACGGAGCTTGGCCCTTGAGCCACATTAGAACCCATAGCCTGATTTCCAGCGGGAACATTTTGGGTCACATCCATGTTGTTCGATTCGATTGCCATTTCTGAAAACAAACCAAATATTAGTTCCAAGAAACTACAATTCAATGAAACCAAAAAAAATAATTCTTGTTTTTGAAAACCAAATATTAGTTCCAAGTAACTAAAATTTAGTTAAACAAAAAACCAACTCTTGTTTTTCGAATTCGAAAACTGTCTTAAGCTTGTAGGAAAATAAGTCGCTAGTGGATGAAACCAATTGTATAAGTTTTATTCAAATACAATAGCCGACTATTGAAATTAATAACCACAAGACAAACGATTTCAATTTATAAAAAAAATTCCGTTTCAGAATTTTCCAACGGCTGAAAAAAAATGTTTAGCAACATAAAATTAGAAACATAAGTTAACTGCAGGCTAAAACTGTAAACGATGAATTTGGAAGCTGCACACTATGGAACTACAAACTGCATGAATTAAATAGTAATGCGAAAATAATCTGCAGAAATAAATGGAAACTGATGCGAAAATAATCTGCAGAAATAAATGGAAACTGAAACTGTAAGGATAAATTGAATCTGCAAAGAAACTACACGAACTGCAACGAAATAAATCTGCAGAAATAAAACACAAACTGCAGCAGATTTCAAACCGAGGCCTGTGCGTGCACAGTTTCCTTAAGACAGTTTCGCCCCCTCACCGTAGGTGCTGGAGGTTCAGTTCGAGCGGTCGTCGCCCAGGATACAACGGTAATAAGTAGAATCCGAGCACCGCGGTCCTACTCCGGCGAACTGCACGTGACTGGAAGGGAACAGAGACTACACCGTATGGAAACTGGAACTGGGAAAAAATGACACTACGTGGAAAATTGGGAAGAATATTTTCGTATGCAGAGAGAGATTTTCATTCGTGTGTTGAACTGTTCGAGTGAGCGTCCCTTATATAGACTGAGTCCTGTCCATTGGAGTCACTGGAGTTACGACATTAACCACTAGAGTTTCAGCTTTTTAGTTCTAGCAATAAACAGTGGGAGTTTCTGCAGTTTAGAAACTCACAAGTCATTTGGCAAAACGTGGGCTCTCCGATGGGACCATTTTTGCCTTGTTCGGTCCGACATTCGTGTGCGCAGGTCTCGCCCGCACCCAAGTTCAAGGTCCGAAGGCCATTTCAGATCGTGATTTGCACCCCCTGCGCGCGCACATGGAGAGAGCCTCTATGCTACACATGATTACACATCTCCAAAGCATGGCCATATATAAAGTGGTTTAAGTTTCCTTGGTTTTCCTATGCGAGATAAATGTATTTTTTCCCACAAAATCAACTTTCAATGCCAACTTTGAGCTCCAATTTCTCATTTACCCGAACTTCATTTTTGGCAAATAAATACATGAAATCGATGTTCTCGTGGAGGAGAACACATATCAACTTTGATATTCCACATTGGACCAACGAGTCCCATCGAAAATTGTGCCAAAAGTGAGCCGCTCACTCAATTTTTTCCAACAGTTTCTTCTAGGAAGTAATTCGAGTTCCGGGTCCGGTTATATGTATAAAAATCGAAAATATTCATCCCAATTTTGTTTTAATCTGTTTATTATCTGCTGTTTAATTTGATCCATTACTCTTTTGTATTTTTTAGACACCGCACCAATTTAAAAAACATTTGGAAAAAGATGTGGAGTTCAAATCGACCAAACACAATACTTTTCTATGCTATATTTGTGGAATAATGTTATGCAACATAAGCGATGTTAGAGAACCAATCTAGATTGTCACACTTGGTCGGTTCAATTAAATAAACAGTGTCTATTAAATGAATCATCTTTAATATTGACTTGATGGCATTATCGTCCTATGTAAAATAAGTTCAAGTCATATTCTATTATTATTTTTCAATTGAATTCTTATATATTATTTATTAAATTCGGGTCCTATTAAATATGTATTTGTCCAGGAAAACCATTGTTGGTGTATGGAAATAAGGTATCAAAAGTGAAATTTTAATGCCCAAAAATAAAAAAAAATAAAAAAGCATTTGGTGCAAAGTATCCGTAAAAGTCTACAGCGATCCTTCTGAAAATAGACAAATTAGACATTAGTTATGGGTCATAGTAAAATTTTAGAAAAAAATTAACGGACTAGATGGATGAATTGGGACATGGTAGTTTTTACACAGCTTAAGGCTACAAAGTACAAATGGCAAAAACATAGTTGACAGATTTATTCTTGGGCAAAAATTTGGACAACACACCGCTCTCTCTCTCTCTCACACACACACTACATCACCTACGTATATGCACTGCCGATATTCCAAGAGTTATTCTTGAACTGAAAATCCTATAGAGAGAAAATAGCCAAGAAAGATGAAGATTTGATTTTTGTGAAAGAACCCACAATACTATTTGATGAAGAAGAGAATTTTGACCGTGGCGACGATGGCGGTGGAGGGTTTTGTTCAGAGCAATCGAAGCCTATAGAGAGGCTGAAGGAAGTGGCGCCGCCGCCATTCTTGAAGAAGGCATTTGAAATGGTGGATGATCCGAGTACAGATTCTGTAATATCTTGGAGTTCAACAAGGAATAGTTTTATTGTTTGGGATCCTCACAAGTTCTCCATGGATTTGCTCCCTAAACACTTCAAGCACAATAATTTCTCCAGCTTTTTTCGACTACTAAATACTTATGTAAAAGCATCAATTCTCCCATTTTTGATGTGGCTTAAAAAGTAGACAAAAAAATAAGTTAAAGTTAATAAATAATTTGGAAATGGGATCACAACTGTTATCAATTTTTTCATCATACATTTCAAGAACGAAATCTACTAAAAATCTAATTTTTAGCCAAACCAAATAAGCGGGCTTAGTATACGTACTGATTTTGTTTATTGTTTTAGAACTCTGCTGCGTATAAAAGTTGGTTAAAAATTCCAGGTTTTGATTTTTGTACTGAACTCTGGGCCTCTTGTCATAGTATTAGTAGTTAGTCTCAAGTTTGGGTAAAGACGGAGGAGGGTTGCATTACGGTTGATAGCCTCGTAGAATTTTATCTAAAAATCTAATTTTTAGCCAAACCAAATAAGCGGGCTTAGTATACGTACTGATTTTGTTTATTGTTTTAGAACTCTGCTGCGTATAAAAGTTGGTTAAAAATTCCAGGTTTTGATTTTTGTACTGAACTCTGGGCCTCTTGTCATGGTATTAGTAGTCTCAAGTTTGGGTAAAGACGGAGGAGGGTTGCATTACGGTTGATAGCCTCGTAGAATTTTATGACACGAATCTTAGTGTGCTAATCTCGAAAAAGGATTCAAGTAGTCGGTTTCACGGTTGGTCACTTAAAACTTCGACTTCCTAGTACTACCTTATAATTCTCATAGTCGATCTTAAGTTTAGACAAAGGGAGAAGAATGTGTTATGTTTACATACTGATTGAAATTTTGTCAAATATTACCAAGAATCATGACATATCCATTTTGTGCTGATTTGACGAAAAAAGATTCTCGTAGTTGATTCTTAAATGGTAGGACTTAGATTTTCTCTTTTTGGGTTCTTAGATAGCTTTTTGTGCTGATTTTTATGTGATTCTGTTTTTTCGGGGTTTTTTCTATTGACACTGGAATGAAATGCCTCTAGATTGTATCCCTAACCCATAAAATCCAATCGTTTTGGGTTTTCTTGTTCTGATCATTGCTTTCTGCTCACATGACTCGAATGTTTTTTAATTTTGATTATGCCTCTTTTATAATTTCAAGATGATTTTAGCTGGGAATTAAATTTTGTAGATGAGAATATAATGGGATCTTGTTATGAAATCGTCCAGGGTTTCAGAAAGATCGATGCCGATAGGTGGGAATTTGTGAATGAGGGGTTTCAGCAAGGGAAGATACATTTGCTGAAGAACGTTAAAAGTAAAAATCAACGTACCCAAATCATTCATCAGAAAGTAGCATCACAATCTTGGTTAGACTCGTCCGAGTACGGGCTAGAAAATGAACTTGAGAAGTTGAGGAAGGATCAAGACATATTGAAAATGGAAATCTTGAAACTAAAGCAGCAGCAAGAGAACAAGGAAAATTATCTGCCTTCCATTAAAGATCGTCTGCAGAACGCTGAAACAAAGCAGAGAAATACGGTAAGATACTTGGTTAAAGTATTGAAGGATCTTCTCTTTTTGCAGTTTATTAAGAAAATGAAGCAGAAAAATGTCCTAAACAGTGTTGGGATGTTAAAGAAAAGGTGATTAATGAAGAACATTGATAAAAGTGTTCAAGAAGAGTTGACCCCAATACAATCAAGCATTATTCTCTACAGACGATTCCGGGAGTCCTATACAGGAACAAAAGGTTGAAGCTTCTTCTGAGGCGAATAGTGTAGATTTGAACTCTTGAACTCGGAGAATTTCACACTGTGGGAGAAATTGATGGAAGACGTTATGATTTATGAGGCAGAAGCAGAAAAAGCAAAGCAACAGTCTGAAATTGTTCTTGAATTTGAGGATTTTATTGCTAAGCTACCAGAGCGGGATATGCCTATGAGAAACCTCGTCGAGCCAGTCAGGTGCCGGGTGTCGAAGGTGTCATTTCAGGGGTAATGTTCATCCTTCAGGTTTTCATCCATTTCTATGCTTTTGTATAGGGGGTTGCTGTTGGAAATAATGTTACTCCACCAAAGATGAGAACGAATTACAAACAAAATAAAAAAAATCTAAAGAAGTATAGAAGATGAAGAAATAGCAAAGTATATATGAAGAATTTTGAAGGCTCAAACACAATCTTTGATTGTTGTCCTCAAACGAATTTTGCCCCCACTATTTTGGTGTTTAAAGGGTGATCCGGCAAAAGGTTTGAAGGATTAATCAAGCCTTATAAAGATTCAAACACTTGTTTGAATCTCTAAAACTTAAGAACACAAAGAAAAAGATGAATATGAGAGGGTATTTTTGTTTGGATTTGATCTCAAGAAGTATCAATATAATATGTGTTTTTTTTCAACATTTTCAATGACCCAAGATCACCTATTTATAGCCAAGTAGTATAGCTTTACAAAGTGGTGCACCTTATGGATGAAAAGCCACCAAAAAACCAACAAAAAACGACCCAACGGTCGTTTTTTATGTACCATGCGATCGCATGGTACAAACCCATGCAGTCGCATGGTACAACCCTACCGAGACCATTTGGTCTCGGTAGGGTTCCATGCGGTCGCATGGCATGGCCTAAATTTTTTTTTTTTTTAATTGTTGGTTTTGAACAATCATACCACTTCATAACAATCCCCCACTTGTTCAAAATTAACAAGTTCTCATATTCAAATTATATGATACTCATGCGTAAGGTTTAGATATCTTTCGATTTGAATCTAACCATAGTGTAATTCAAACAAAGTAAAGTCGAAATTCAAAGTAGCGTGAAGCTTTGAACCAAGTATTTCATGTGACAATACCGATAAGAACACACACACGAATATCACGTGTTCTCAAGTTCCTCGTTTCTCGCTTAGCGCTTTTATGGCCTTGCGCTTATCCTTTTCAATAAACTTTTAAGAGAGAACTCCAACTCTCTATAAAGGCGGCACCACCTTGAAGTTTATTTAGGTAAAGTTCTTCCAGTACCTTTGTTACTTTTAGAAGTACTTGTGGTTTTACACTGAACTTTATTAAGAGCTTATAGCTCAACCCTCGTTTCAGTAACAACCAGCATTATATTAATCTAGGATAGGATTATTGCGGATTATAATAATGCTGTAACTATCCACATATCGAATGATTTGTTGATACCCTTTGAACCCGTGTAAAACCTTTTGAGTAACGACAGGTAGGGTTGCCATCATTGGTGGATATTTTAGTTAAGGAGTTTCAATCCCATCCTACTTGAAGTAGATGCCACTAAATCTCTATTTAGAGGTTTAGTTAGAGGATCCGCCAAATTTTCATTTGACCTTACATAATTTAGGGAAATTATTCCATCTTTGATTAACTTCCTTATGTAGTTGTGTCTAAGACTCATATGTCTAGACTTCTCGTTATATACATCATTGTATGCTTTAGCTAGAGTGGCTTGACTATCGCACATTATTGGTATTGAAGAAATATTCTTTGATCCCAAATGTATCTCATAGAATAAGTCTTTAAGCCATTCAGCCTCCTTTCCTGTATCTGATAGGGCTACAAATTCAGATTCCATAGTTGAATGTGTTATGCATGTTTGTTTCTTCGACTTCCAAGAAATTGCACCTCCTCCTAGAGTAAACACCCAACCCGTAGTTGATTTACTTTCATTCGTGCTAGATATCCAACTAGCATCAGTAAATCCTTCTAATATTGCTGGAAATTTAGTATATTGTAGACCTAAGTTCTTGGTTTTCTTTAAGTATCCGAGAACTCTCCCAATTGCTTTCCAATGTTCATTACTTGGATTGCTAGTAAACCTACTAAGTTTACTTATTGCATAGGCTATATCTGGTCTTGTGCATTGAACTGCATACATAAGACTTCCAATAGCACTTGCATACTCTAATTGAGCAATTTCTCTTCCATCATTTTTTACAAGTTTTGAGCTTGGATCAATAGGGGTATTATACTCTTTTATGTTCAAATGTTTAAACTTATTTATCACATTCTCAATATAATGTGATTGACTAAGGTAATAACCCCCACTAGTCTTTGAGACTTTGATACCTAAAATAGTATCAATTTGTCCAAGATCCTTCATCTTAAATGTGGAAGATAGAAACCTCTTCGTTTCTTTTATCCCATCCATGTGATTACTTATAATCAACATGTGATCAACATATAAGCATATAAATATCATGTAATCATCACGCACTTTAGAATACAAACATCTATCCATACTATTATGTTTAAATCCATATGATATAATTGCTAAGTCAAATTTCTCATGCCACTTCTTAGGTGCTTGCTTTAGCCCATATAACGATTTAATTAACTTGCATACCTTATATTCATTTCTTGGTAAAACAAAACCTTCTGGTTGTTCCATATAGACCTCCTCATCGAGATCCCCATTTAGGAATGCCGTTTTGACATCCATTTGATGAACATGCAAGTCATATATAGAGGCTAATGCAAACAATATCCTAATTGAAGTTATTCTTACTACCGGTGCATAAGTGTCAAAATAGTCAATTCCTTCCTTTTGTCGATAACTTTTGGCTACAAGTCTAGCTTTGAAAGTATTTAGAGAACCATCAACATTGTATTTTCTCCTAAATACCCATTTACAACCAATAGGTTTGGATCCGGGTGGTAGATCGACAAGTTCCCAAGTTTTATTTGACATTATTGAATCCATTTCATCTTTGATTGCATCTTTCCAAAACATGCTATCTCGAGAAGCCATAGCTTCTTTATAAGTTTTAGGATCGGTTTTCACTTGTAGAACAAAAGGAATTGTTCTTACAACATTCAACTCATTTCCTTCTACTAAGTAAAAGGAGATAAGTTGAGAATCAATTTCATCCCGTCCTAAAGACTTCTTAACTCGAGTTCTTTTGCTTCTTCGTGGTTCATTAGATTCATTAATATCTTTAGAAGATATTTCATCCCGTTTTCCACTTGAGCTTGGGATATTTTCAAGATTTTCCCTTAATTCGTTATTCGAGGTTAACAAATCTTCAAAGAACTCTACATCACTCGATTCAATAATCACATTGGTCTCCAAATTTAACAATCTATAATATTTGCTATTGTTAGCATATCCAACAAAAACACATTTGATGCCTCTTGGACCTAATTTGTTTCTATTAGGGTTCGTGTTCTTGCAATAGGCAAGACACCCCCACACTTTGAAGTATCCAATGTTTGGTTTTCTTCCTTTCCATAATTGATAAGGAGAAACCTTAGTATGTTTTGAAGGAATTCTATTAAGTATCCTACATGCACGTAATAAAGCTTCACCCTATAAGTTAAAAGGTAACTTAGCAAATATAAGCATAGCATTAATCATTTCTACTAGTGTTCTATTCTTTCTTTCAGCCAAACCATTTTGTTCGGGAGTCCTTGGTGCAGAACATTGATGAATTATGCCATGTTGTTCACAAAATAAATTAAAATCACTAGAAAAGTATTCACCACCTCTATCACTCCTTAAGGTTTTTATTTTCTTTCCTAGATGATTTTCAATTTCATTCTTATAAATCTTAAACATGTTAAATGCTTCATGTTTATGTTTCATTAAATACACATATGTATATTTAGAAAAGTCATCGATAAAGGTAATAAAATACCTGTTTCCACCTCTAGTTAACATGCCGTTTAATTCACATATATCCGTATGAATTAGTTCCAAAATACTAGAGGTTCTTTTTACACTTTGATATGGTTTTTTAATCATCTTAGATTCTACACAAGTTTTGCATCTATATTCATTATTTTCATTATATGAAATTAAGTCACACTTTTTCATTCATTTCATGGTACTTTTACCAATATGTCCTAACCTAGCATGCCATAATGAAAATAAATCCACAACATAAGCAAGATCAACTTTATTTATTTTATTGTCAACAGTACAAAGTTTGACCATTCCTTCACAAGAATAGCCTTTTCCAACAAAATTCCCTTTAAGGGATAATACAAGTTTACCGGATTCATACACACTTTTGATACCCGATTTTCCTAAGAGATTTCCACTAACTAAGTTCCAATTCATATCCAGAACATGTAATACATTAGTGAGGGTAACGTTTTTCCCGGAAGTGAAGATTAAAACTACATTTCCTTTACCAATGACTTTGGATCGAACTTCGTTGCCCATTTGAATCTCTTGGTCTCCATCCATTTCATGATAGGTCTTGAATAAAGATTTATCATATGATACATGCATCGTAGCACAAGTATTATACCACCACCCGGGAACCTTTCCCTTAATTGCATTTATCTCGCTCACGGTGGCCACAATCTTTTCTTCTTGAATGGAGTTGATTTTACCTTCGGAGTTGTTTCTTTTTCGGTGTCTACAGTCTTTTGCATAGTGACCAGACTTTCCACACACAAAGCAACCTCCTTTGTTCTTCTTCTTGAACTTGTTAAAGTTTCTTGAAGGCTTCCTTTTGTTGGTTTTTCCAGGTGGTTCAGATTTCTCTATGGCATTCGCTTTAGAAGTTCCTTCCGAAGAGTTTTCACTTCTATCGCGTAACCTGGATTCTTCTTCAATCCTTAGGTGCCTTTGCAATTGTTCCAAAGAGTAATCTTCGGAACTATGCATAATTTTCTTCCGGTATCCTTTCCAAGTTCCCGGGAGTTTTGCTATTATAGCCCCCACTTGAAAAGTCTCTGAGATTTCAATCTTTACCGCCTTTAATTTGTTGACAAGGACTTGCAACTCATGTATTTGGGGAAGTAGGGGAATATTTTCCAAAAACTTAAAATCAAAATATTTTGAAATTATAAATTTCTTTGTACCTTCTTCCTCTGCTTTGTATTTGCTTTCTAAAGCCTTCCATATCTCCTTTGTCGAAGAAGTGTTGGTGTACAAATCATATAAACGATCTGAAAGAGCATTGAGTATGTGACCCCGACATATGAGTTCATCTTCTTGTCGTTTTTGCCTTTCTGCTCTAACTGCTTCGGTTTCTCCATTGGTGGGTTCCGGTAATGGCGTCAATTCTGGGTCTAAGATATAGAAGATCTTCAATGCGGTGAGAAGAAACTTCAGTTTGTCTTGCCACCTTGTGAAATTTGTGCCATCGAACCGATCTAATCGAACCAAATCTTGATTCATCAATTTGATGGTCGCCATTGTAGTTTCGTTTTCCATAGTACAAAATTCGTTTGAGATTGTTTGAAATAATGTTACTCCACCAAAGATGAGAACGAATTACAAACAAAATAAAAAAATCTAAAGAAGTATAGGAGATGAAGAAATAGCAAAGTATATATGAAGAATTTTGAAGGCTCAAACACAATCTTTAATTGTTGTCCTCAAACGAATTTTGCCCCCACTATTTTGGTGTTTAAAGGGTGATCCGGCAAAAGGTTTGAAGGATTAATCAAGCCTTATAAAGATTCAAACACTAAACACTTGTTTGAATCTCTAAAACTTAAGAACACAAAGAAAAAGATGAATATGAGAGGGTATTTTTGTTTGGATTTGATCTCAAGAAGTATCAATATAATAGGTGTTTTTTTTCAACATTTTCAATGACCCAAGATCACCTATTTATAGCCAAGTAGTATAGCTTTACGAAGTGGTGCACCTTATGGATGAAAAGCCACCAAAAAAACCAACAAAAAACGACTCAACGGTCGTTTTTTATGTACCATACGATCGCATGGTACAACCCTACCGAGACCATTTGGTCTCGGTAGGGTTCCATGCGGTCGCATGGCTTTAGCATGGCCTAAAATTTTTTTTTTTTTTTTTTAATTGTTGGTTTTGAACAATCATACCACTTCATAACAGTTGCTGTTTTGTAATGTAAATGACTTCTGTTGCCAAACCAGAATGTTGAGTTGGTAGGTATGTAGTGTTTTGTATACTATGCATGTTTTGGCAACTATGAATTCTCTCATATCTGCTCACAACTTAAGTCTTGATCTTGAGGATGTTTTTGGTTTATGAAAATCATAATCTAATCTCGTTCATTTGATAGCTTAAACTTTTAGTTGGCGTATCATTTTTCTATTTTTCATTGTGTAAATTATGACTGTGACTATGCAAGAATGTGTTTGTGTTTCGTTTCGAAATTCACTGCTTGGAAGGAGAATTTTCGTCTTAACAATTGTTCCATTTCATATCACGTGTGCCAAGCAAAAATTAAGAAATTGAAATAATGAATCCCTATTTCTTCAACGTGAGCGCGAGTATTTTGAGATACAAAAACTTCCGAACTGTGCCCGACGTCTGACTCTCTTCTAACACGACAATGTTGATGTTTATGAAAGATTGGAAAGCATTCGTATTGAAACTAATGAATAAATAGGCGCTCTTTGTTTGATCTCATCTCTTGGAGTCCATCCAACATTACAAACATAACATTACGAGTGAACCAGTTTTGAGTAAACCGGTGTGTTTCTCAATTAATTGACAAGACAAGAAGTGTCTTAATCCCAAATGAAATTAGTGCATGAATCTAAAATGTAGTTTAGACAAGAACCATAAATTAACCCATAAGTTGTAAGATTTGATTGAAGGGATAGACTGATCAATCTTTGTAGTCCAAACAAGCAAATATAGCCACAAGCTTTGCCCTTTTTCGGTTTTGATAATAATTAAAATTTGATAAAGGTAGATGAAATATATGGTTGAAAAGTTAATGAAAGTTGTAGATTTCATAAAATACGTGATCGAAAATAGATTTTAAAGAAATAGCGGTGAAACAGGAGGCATGCATCACAAGCTTACTTTGTGAGTGTGAGTGAACTTACCACTGGGATTCATTATTACCACATATGACGATGAAGATGACAACATGTTAATAGTACGGTCGAATCTTGTTTATTCTTAGTGAATGCATTGCTCAAAACTTTCCATGCACATCAACTTCTTTAATGGACACTCTTCAAGAGTATCATTCCCTAGTTGGCCGATCTGGGGAATAGTCATCACCATCCATGACGACTTGATTCAGTAAGAATCGAGCGATTGAGGGTCGTTTGACAGAGTTTTTAATTTTATTTCTATTTCTTGTAGAAGAGTTTCCAAAAAATTATCCATAAATATTCAAAAGAAATCTTAATCCCGGAATCAACTTTTAGCTTCGGAAAAGTCCTAAAGAAAATGCACAGATATCACATTCTGCATCTTGGCGACATGTTATAAGCTATGAACTTGCATCTATTTATTTCCTTTAGTTTTGACAATTCAAGGTCAGTATGAGCGGGGCCCGTCGGGGTGGAGCAGGACGGGTTTTTTTTGCCATCACTAATGAATTCCCTTTTGACTTTAATGAGACATATTGACGGCCGTTGCTAATTTTGTCTCCCCACACCTTATTATCCCCCCCCCCCCCCCCCCCCCCCCCCCCCCCCCCCCTACCACCCCCCCCCCNNNNTTTTAGACCCCCCCCCCCCCCCCACACACACCATTTATTTCTAGTGGCATGGTGTAAATGTCAAAAAAAAAAACTAAAGTGGCATGGGGTAAATGCCACAAAGATTTAATGATAAATTGTGTTGAATTTGTGACTGGACCATTTAAAAATCTTCTGTTGCAGTTGTTCTATTTTTTTTATTTCTTCAGCACAACGGTGTTTTCTGTCCTTTGTTGTTGGTTATTATGTGATGGCATTTGGTTATTATGTGATGGAATGCCAGTATTTGCACCAATGTGTTGACAGAACAATTTTATATAGATGTTCTGTAGGAATGTACATAACTACAATGGCTGAGACAGTCAATACTTCTGGTGAATCTGATAACTATAGATCCCCACTCACAAGGTTAATTGAATTATGTAAATAAATTTTTTTTTTTCTGGGAAAAAGAATGAGCATATAGAGAAGAAACGAAAATGTTTCCTTTTATTTTTCTTCGTAAAGCTGGAAGTCTCTGTCGGTTTTGTTGTGGAATATTAGAACTTTGGAGGCTATACTAATTTGTTATTTTTTTCTTCATTTAATTTTCTGAATTTGCAGGTGTCAAATACTATTGACTTCCTCCTCTATTTCCTGGCTAAGTTATGTGATTAAATTTTAATTTTAAGCCTAAATAATTTATTACATTATATGTATATTATGTTATAAGGTTTGTCATTGAGCATATACAGTTATTGTTAGGTAAGAATTGCCTGGATAATGAAAATAGCAAAACTTGGATATAGATTTCACTAAGAAATAATGTGGCTCTATTATGAAATAAGAACAGAGGATTACAAGATGAGTTTCAAATAGGAGTTACAAAAAAATTTGAAACTCTTTGTCTCTCTCAAAAAGAACAAACTCTATTTATCCCAAATCCTCACTTAGTGTTCAATTGTTTTTGGCACACACTCATTGAACATACATACATATATAATGAACACGTCCAAAGGCCTATTTATAGATTTTGTAAGGAGGTTTATCATTTGACAAATACGATTGTAATTCCTCCTCTAGAAGTTGAAAAATCAAAGATGAACTCGATCAACCAATAGACTTTCTTTCCTTGCTTGACTTGGTAGATAGACTTTCTTTCCTTGCTTGACTTGGTAGATTTACTTGTTTGAATTTTCTTCTTGGTGGCAAAGAATAATTTGATAACTACAACTTATCCTTTAAAAAGGTAAAATTCAACTTTGCTTCCACCACTATCATTTTCAACCTTATCTCTATGAAGTAAAATCAAAATTGTTTCCACTTCTAACCAGTATATGGCCGTAGGCCCTGTCCGTCCAGCAGGGCTCATTTATTTTTCTCCAAATGCCAGCAAAATTTGAAATATTATTTGTTTTACTTCTTTAGGTTTGATGTTAACTTTCCCTTTGAGGCTAGGTAACTGGTAAATGTATCCCCTTTAGATGGAAACTATAGTAAAATGGTTTTTTGATTACTTTGACTGGCTCAAAAGGACAGAGAGCAAGGAAATATAACGAAATTGAAAGCTGAAAAAATACTAGGCACAAACACCCCAGTCCTTTAAATTAACCTTGAATGCTACAATTTGATTACCGATTTAATCCATGATTGACAAATATATCTAATTTTAGAGCTCACTGGCCAACTAATGTTAAACCTGAACCTCAAGGAGCAAAGTGGGAATCCTTTGAAGTAGTATTTTTACTTACTCGACTCTTTTTATTGGGACGTTCCTATAAAAGTGAATTTGATAATTTCATTTCCCTTGCTGGCTTCCTATTTGATTATGTTTTCGATTGGATTATTTTGAAGTATCAACAATCACTGAAGGGTGCTCCTCCTTCCAGGACTCTTATAAGTGATATAACAATGACATTTTCTTCTGTAGGTAGTTTGCTATTCATGCATTTGATGAATTATATGCTTACTGTAGGGCCAAATTCCTGGTACAAGCTCGGGACTACCCCCTGCAACCCCCAATGCTGAACGGCAGCCTGGTAATTTCCTGATATTGCTTCATTCTCTTCTTCTCTCTGCATGTGTAGTTAGATAATAGATACAGGGTCCGACTAACAAAGTTCTTATACTGATTTATTTTTTCACTATTCTTATAGTGGGTTTACTGTCACTCTGTCCCTGAGGCCTTCTTAATGCACTCGTGGGTTTAAAATTAAATATTTGTCAACTTTATTCAGGCGACGAAGAGGGGAGAAATTCTGGACAACTTATTAATGCTGGAAGTTTGTCCAAGCAGAAGATTCGCGGTGCAAATGATTCAACCAGCAGAGATGCTGTGGTGAGTATATAATGTGCTCAGCAAGATAGATGATGCATTATCATATCGTTATAAGGCCCAGAATTATTTCCATTTCCTTATTCAGATTCCATATCATAATTGGTCCCCGACAGGGAGTTTCAGAGAGAATTATCGTAAGATTTCTTGATCACCCTTTTTCCGCATATAGAACCTTCGTCTGTCTATCTCCAGTCAGATCTTTCCTCAGTGCAATGTGTAAGGAATTTTAAATGATCATATGGGTTTATATGTGCAAATTGTTGTGTATTAAATTAAAGGTTATCGAATTCGATTAAACCCATTTAAAGTGATCTAATAAAGATTTGATTTTGGACCGTTATGCATCCAATTAAAGTGTGGGTTCATATATATGTAGAGATCGGGCCCAAATTCCTAATTCTCTGATGAGCCGAATTAGGTCAAAGGGCATCAGTATATATAAATGGTTATGATCCTCGAATCACACGTAGAGAGAGTATGTATTTTTCATTATCTTCTGCATCCTATCACAGAGAGAAAGGAGATCGCGTGTTGATTTGAAAGACTAAGTCGTAGATTCGATTATTAGATTAATCATGTCTGATTTAAGTACGCTTCCACTATAATTATTGAATTTCTTGGTGATCCAACATGAAAGATCCGGTGATTCTAAAGTAATAAATTATCCGACAAATGATATCAGAGCCCTTTTCATGTTGAATAATTGAGAGTCAAAGTTTTAAAATTTGGTTCTTGCAATATTTTTTGAGTTTTCAGATTTGATAATTTTGGATAAAGTTTTGTTGAATTTGAAAACTACTTGGTATGTAATTCTTGGTTATATTATTGGATCTGGATTGAATACTTCAAAATTTTCGGACTATGAATTTTTTTTTTATTTTTTTAAGGATTACAAATTTTTATTTTTATTTTTATTTTTTTTGAGGTTAAAAAAAAAAAACTTATTTTTTGTCTGCCTGGAGGTAGCTCCAACGACAGCCGGCCACAGCGACACAACAATGCGTGCGAGCTGCTCCAGAACACAGTAGCACCGGGGTTGCTATACGGTGGGGCTCCCAATCTGTTCGCCTACGTCGCCTGAGCTGCTCCAGAAGAGAGGAAGGATTTTTTTTTTTAGGATTTCAGTTTGGTTTCGATATGATTTGGGGATGGGGGCCTCATGTGCAAATTAGATTACTTGAGGCCCCTACTTGCAATTAGGGTTAGGGTTATATATTTAATGTTCCAGTCCCTAACATTTTGATGTTCATCCAAATTGGGCCATTAGGTTTTGAGTTTAATAGTTCAATCCCTAAAGTTTAAAAATTAATTAATTCGGGCCATTAAAGTTCTGAATTTTATAATTAAAGTCCTTAAAGTTTATAATTAATTCAAATTGAACACTAAAGTTTCAATTTTTTTTAAAATTTGATCCCTAAAGTTTTGAATTGATTAATTTTTGTCTCCTAAAGTTTTAAATTTATTAATTTTGGCCCCCAAAGTTTTGAAATAATTAATTTTGCACCCCTAAAGTCTTGAATTATTAACCCTAAGGCCCCTAATGTTTAAAACTAAATAAAATATGCAAAATTGGTGATTCTCTTTCTCAAATTTTGGTACTAAGAACTCTTTTAGAAGATATAATGTTCGAAAGTTAGTTAATTGAAGCAACATGTTGCCAAAACAACATCTCTTGTGAAAATTGATTAACTTAGAATATTAAAAAGTGTTTGAGTGTGTGTTATTCATGCGAATATTGATCAGCCCAAAGGAAGGTCAATATTTGGTTGAATTTCACGTGCACATGTGGTGGTAAAACATGTGATTATTATTTGGTTTAACATGTAATCAATAAATCCGTCCAAAGAAAGGTTTATTGATTGACATGTATTTATTGTTAGTGTTTGATCACTCATCAAAAGTATCACTCACAAGTCAATATTTCTATCCAAAGACTAAATATAAATGTTGTGCTACGTATCTTGTAATGGGCCCTACCAATATTTGAGAATTATATTATTTGCATACTAAGGATATCCATGTGAGCCATTCGTAATAATTGTTCTCTAATTCAGTTACAAGTTTTGCTGCTAATAGCTCTACTAGCATCAACTCAATTTCAATCCTTAATGGCTCGAACTTCAAGGTATGGCAAGAGAATGTAATGATCGTTCTCAGAGTCATAGACCTAGACCTTACTTTACGGATCGATTAACCTACTAAACTTACTGATGAGAGTACCTCTAATGACAAGAGGGAGATGGAAAAGTGAAAAAGAACCACATAAACTTAATGGTCATGAAACGTGCTATTCTAAAACCATTTCGAGACACTATGTCTAATGAAGTAAATACGGATAAGGGTTTCTGAGAAGAGGTTTGCCAAGAATGAAAATGCTGAAACAATTACACATTTGACAAATCTTGTCTCAATAAGGGATACAGGAAAATTGATAAAGAAGCTATGGGTACAGCATCGCAAAATAACAGCATAAGGGACTAACTAAAGGTGGTTGCTTTTTCTGTGAAGCTGCAGGTCATAAAAAGAAGAATTGCACCAATTACCATACATGGCGTGTAAAGAAAGGTATTCTTCTTCATTTGGTTTGTTCTGAGGTTAATTAACTTCGGTACCTAGACACACATGGTGAATAGATTCTGGTACAACAACTCACATCAGTGTGTCTATGCAGGGTTGCCTGAGTTGTCGATAACCAAGTGATGGTGAAAGATACATCTATGCTAGCGACGGCAAGACGGTGGAAGTAAAGGCAATAGGAAAATTTGGATTATTGTTAAAGACTGAATTTTATTTGGATCTTGATGAGACATTTATTGTACCTTCTGTTAAATGGAATTTGATTTCTATTTCTACTTTGGACAAATTTGGTTATTCTTATTCATTTGAAAACGAAAAATTTAGTTTGTTTCATGATTCAAAATTGGTTGGTTCTGGTTCTGTATCAGGTTACGATAATATTTTTTCAATTGATACAATTGCTTCTTTTAATGAATCCTTGCATGTAATTACTCGAGGTGTAAAGCAAAAATTAACCGACTAGAATTCTGCCTCGTTGTAGCACAAGAGATTAGGTCACATCTTCAAAAGAAGAATTGAGAGACTTATGTCTGACGGGATTTTCGACCCTCTTGACTTCACGGATTATGATTTGTGTGTCAATTGTATAAAGGGAAAACAAATCAATAAAATGAGATTTCAAGCCAATAAGACTTCGGACGTCTTAGGACTTATACATACGGATATTTGTGGACCATTCCCTACCGATTCTCGGAATGGTCAACAATATTTTATAACGTTTATAGAATTCTTTTCAAGATATGGCTACATATATCTCACTCATGAAAAATCACAGTCACTGGATATGTTTAAAAACTATAAAACTGAAGTTGAGAACCAACTCGGCAAAAGAATTAAAAGCGTTAGATCTGACCGTGGGGATGAATACTATGGCAGATATGACGGTTCAGGTGAACAACGCTCAGGACCATTTGCTAAATTCCTAGAGGAATGCGGTATCGTCCCACAGTACATTATACCTGGTTCGCCCACTATGAATGGTGTTGCTGGGAGATGAAACAGAACGCTTAAAGATATGGTGAGGAGTGTGATTAGTCATTCTACCTTACCAGAATCTCTCTGGGGTGAAGCATTAAAGACTCCAACATATATAGTCAACAGAGTTCCAACTAAGGCCACTGATAAAACCCCTTATGAGCTTTGGATAGGCAAGAAGCCTAGTTTGAAGCATATACATATTCGAGGGTGTCCAGCTGAGGCAAGGCCCTATAAGCCAAATGAAAAGAAACTGGACACAAGGACCATCGGTTTCTATTTTATCGGATATTCTGAAAGGTTCAAGGGTTACAAGTTTTATGATCCCACAACTAAGGGAATTTTCGAGACAAGAAATGCTCTATTCTTTGAGGATGTTGAGTTTGCGGGGAGAGAAAGGGTTACAAGTTTTGTCTTTGAGGAGGAATATGTTGAAATTTCTCCAATTGCCATTGAAAATGATCAGGTTTCTATCCTTGACATTGCTCAAAAAGTAACTCCGGATCAAGACAATATCATATCTCGCTCTTAAGGTCAACAAATTGTTCCAGAAGAACAAATTCTACAGCCTCGAGAACCAATGCCATTAAGAAGATCCACTAAAGAATGGAGAAGTGCGGTTTCGGATGATTACATCGTATTTCTCCAAGAACATGAAGTTGACATTGGAATGATGGAAGATGATTCGATCAACTTTCATCAAGCCATGAAAATTTCTAACTCTCAAAAGTGACTCGTTGCCACGAATGAAGAGATAAAGTCCATAAAGGAAAATAAAGTATGGGACCTCGTTCCATTGCCTGAATGAAAAACTCATTGGTTGAAAATGGATATTTAAGACCAACGGGGATTTGAAGGGTGATGTGGAGAAGTATAAGGTTCGTCTTGTCGCAAAGGGCTTTACACAGAAAGAAGGCATCGATTATATAGAGATTTTCTCTCCGATTTCTTCGAAAGACCTTTTCAGGACTATAATAGCATTGATAGCGCATTTAGATCTTCAGTTATATCAGATGGATATTAAGACAGTGTTTCTCAATGGTGACATTGATGAAACAATTTATATGGTACAATCAGAAAATTTCGTATCGGATCATGCAAAGCAAATGCTTTGTAAATTAAATAAATCCATCTACGGACTTAAACAGGCGTCTTGTCAATGATATTACAAATTTCATCAAGTGATCATCTCATTTGATTTTGAGATGAATTTGGTCAATGATTGTATATACCACAAGTTCAGTGGGAGCAAGTATATTTTTCTGATTTTATATGTCGATGACATATTGCTTGCCAGCGACGATATAGGCTTATTGCACGAAATCAAGATATTTCTAGCAAAGAATTTTAAGATGAAAGATCTTGGTGACGCCTCTTTTGTATTAAAAATTCAGATACACCAAAATTGTTCCCGGGGTATTCTTGGATTATCACAAAACAGCTATATCGAAAAGGTACTTAAAAGATATGACATGCAAGATTGTAAACCAGGTGATACCCCTTGTGGCTAGGGCTATCGAAGGCTAAGGCTCGTAAAATCATGAGCCCGAGCACAAGTCGAGAGGGCCTCGCCGGGAGGTGAGCAGCTCGTGGGTG